CTTTCTCTATGTCTCTCTCTGTCTGTCTGGCGAGCGCACGCGCCCTATAGCGAAAACCTCTCAAAAAAAAAAATATATATATATATATACAGGAGGAGCAGTCAAGCTGGTGGCATGGTGGTTAGGGCAGCTAGATCCTATGGCTGCATCTGTGGTTTGAGTCTGGTCTGGCAGCTTGAAAATACACACCGGGTGTGTGCATGCACATGTCCAAAATCCCAAAAGGAGAAATGGAAGCGAAGGGATTGTAGCAAGACAGCTCCCCATGTGGCCTGCCTTCTCACTTTCCCACTTTGTCTCTACCAAGTCAGCACATGTGCCTTCCGGAAAATATAAAATAAACGCATACAGAAGGATGTGCTGAGGTTATATGTAAATACTTGCCATTTTATATAAGGGACTTGTGCATCTGCAGATTCTGGTATGTATAGGGAGGTGGTCATGGAACCCAGCCCCCATGGGTACTGATGAAACACTGGGTAAAAGAATTATACGCAGGTGGTAATACCTTCCATGTATTGAGCACTTATTTGCCAGCCCCGGTGGTAGGCATATTACATATTGTGTGTTATCTCAACCTTAGAGCTAATTCTACAAGGTATATAACTCCTTCCTCCCACTTTGCAGATGAAGAAATTGAACACAAGAGAGGTAAGTCTGGATTGTACAGTGGTGAGGGACAGAGCTGGGACTCAGACATAGGTCTGTCTAGGTTTTCTCTCTAGTACAGTGTGGAACAATCAGAAACGATGCGTATTGTATTAGCTACTGAAAGAAGGTATTTTTGAAAATGTTCATTTTAAAGTTATGGTCAATATCACACTCTCTTTTTCTTGGCTCTTAAAAAGTGGGTTGGTGGTCTAAGGTGATGAAATTCAAACTTAATACAGATTCAGCCCTCCCATGTCACATCCCTCACGGACCGTAGGAGAATCGCGGTATATAATGGACCCCTCTGTTCTACCGCTCTCTCCACCTGCTCAACTCTCAAATGAAAACAAAATTCATATGATCATTGAGGTCTAGAAATTAACTTTTATTTTAAATCTGTCAAGAACTTCTGGCAGTTATTAATTTTATTAAAATGATTACATATGGCAAAACAAAGAATAGAGGTAATTCTATGTCTCTGCAACATAAATTAGGAGTTAGGTTCTCAGCTGCTGGCTCAGTATTGTTCAAGATTCTTTTAAAGGGGGACTTAAATTTCCAGAATATGTTAAAGCAGCAAAAGAAAAAATAAATTAAGGGTAATTGCAATTGGAGACATTGCCAAGGATGTGCTAATTATAAAATCTGAATGTGTTTATAGGTCAGACTGAAAGCTTTGGTATTTAAAAAAAATTATGTGAATAGCTGTCCTATATTGGCTTTTCATTTATAGTTTATAACACGGATCAAGTTTTTTGATTTAAAAAAAAATGGTAAAAACAAATCATGATTAATTCAAATAAAATGCAACCAGCATTTATCCATCTAACTAAAATATGCCAAACCAAAACCACTTTTTATTAAAATATTTAATACCAGAATAACTTATAATAGTATGAAAAAGAGTGAAGTATTTGTCCTTAGTTCTCATTGACATTCTCGCGTTTTAACAAAATTATTTTGTACAGATTCCGAAGTTTTTATGGTGGAGCTCTAACTACGTAAGGATGTAAACCAAAAGAACGCATACTTCATCTGTTCACACAGTCATAACTTACATATCTTGTTTTACACTTATTGCAAACAGCAATTTAGAAAACAAAGTAAAAATATATATATACAAAATATTTTATATCAAATTATCTTCATTACACTAAATAAACCCAATCCCCAAATGCTATGTTACATGAAAAAGTGTCCTACAATTTTTGATATCAATATTGATACTGTCCTTAGATTAGAGCAGCCTTTGGTTTTAAAAGCATTTTGCAAAATAAAGAAAAATGTCACCCCATGGCTGCACTATTGGCTCTCATTGACACTCACAAACAAGCTTTCCAGTTTAAAAAAAAAAAAAAATGACAAAATAGATTACGTACCCAGACAAAAAATCCCACCATAAAAGAGTCAAATCCCTTTAATTTCTCTGCAGCACATACACTCTGTTATATTTGGCATCTCTATTGCTTATTCAAGTTCCAAGTCTTCCCAAGCTGATTAGAATCTTATTGTTCAATTGAAAAAAGATATTCTTCTATCTTGGTATTGATTATTCTCAGTCAATGGCAGTCTAATTTACAAACAGAATGCTCTTTCTTTCTTTGAATGCATAATTTCACCTTATTCTTACTTTAATGTCCTGCTTGGCAAAATTTAGAGACTGTTCCATGTTTTGTTTTCCATATGTTTTAAATTTGAAAATCAATTTTATGCACCGCATGTATATTTACAGAGACACATTTCTCTCATTGCCTTGTTCTCATTGCAATACAAATTGTCCATCAGCAATTATAATTTGAAATGAACCAAATAAAAGGTTTTTAGTCATCCCATATAAAAAAGTTTCCATCACACACACACAAAAAAACCCCAAAAAAATCAAAACACTGAACTCTAAGGCAAACACGATTATGTTTTAAAACTAAATGGTAGGTTTTGCACAGGAAAATTCCGAATTATTTAAGTAATTCAGTTTTTAAAAACTTCAGTAAAACTCGAGGGAAGAAAGAATTCCAATTCATTTTAAAGGGCATTGTGGTGCTTTCCAGTAGTTTTAGAAATAATTTTCTGATCCCAACCTATTTGTTGCAGTTTTAAGTTAGTTTGAAGCAGTCATTTCTGGAATGTGCGTATTACGTGGACCACTTGCCTCTCCTTTCGAAGTGTGTACATATCGGACACGCCGGCAAGATACATGCACGCAATTCTCACTGACACTCTGAAACGCACTTAGCAGTTTCTCAATACGGTAGAACTTTTTTTTTTAAAGGAACATTTCACTGGGTCTGAACGGATCTCTACAGTCTAACATGTGACTTATTGAACATATTTCGAGGACTTTTGGCAATTCTGGTTTCAGTCCTGGAATGGCAAGGCCGTCTGGAATGATGCGCACAGAGTAATAAACACATGGCTGGCGTTTTGAGGCACAGCTGTTCCGCTCTGCCCACGTTGGAGCTTATTTTCGGGAAGCAAGGCACTTATTGCAATGGCAATGCAAACGTTTTATGCGTGGTTTGAGTAACATAAAATAAGTTAATACTTTTGATTAAAGTGAGGTTTTTTTTTTAATATAACTTATATGTCTTTTATAGAAGCAACTAAATGATCTATGTAAGATACTTAAACATAAGAGGCTTGAAAGGGGCGCGGCGCTGTCGCTCCTGCTTCGGCTCCTAGGCTGAGGATGTATGGGAACTCACTGACACAAGGAACATCCAGCCGGTGTTAAAACTGCTGTGCCAGGGGCACTTTGACGGTCTTCACTTCCGCTATGTGGGACGACTTCTGGATGATGCAGCTGGTAGTTCCCTGCAGCTTGTCCTTTCCCTGCGCGAGATTTGTTAGGGCCATGGCGGCATTGATCTCCTTCCAGTATGTGTCATCCTTGCTCGGCCCCTTTCTGTGAGCTGCACTGGAGAGAAGCAAAACAGAAAGCTGACCATCACACTCGCCGCGGTGCGCACGGAAAATGCCACACTGAAAAGCACAAATGGCGAATGAAAACATTTTTGCTCACCCGTCCTCCTTATGGGAGCCATTTTCCAGAGCGTCTGTAAAGAAAAGCAAAACATCCCATTACTTTCCTCTCGTTCTGCCTTTCTCGATCTTGGGCATCTCATCATGTATTACCGGGAGTAACACCTCACCAGGAAATCAGCTGAACAGCTTTTTCTTTTTTTTCGTTTTCTTTTTTTAAAACAAAGATGAAATAGTTTATGTTGATATTAAAAAGAAAACTAAAACTCTCTTGCCAAAGACATTCTCGCCAGATAATAAAAAATGAAAAGTAGCTTTTAGAGAAATACAAAAATCTGGGGTTAATTTACTCTGCCAAATTGGGCCTTTCTCTCAGGCGGCAGACAGTGTCGGCCAGGGTGAGTGTCCCTGGGACCAAGTCCAGTCCTGCCCGCCCCTGCTGTGCAGCTTTGGGTAATCATGATGCCCACCAAGTCTGGGTTCCGTTCCCTCAGCTATCAATAAAGGCATTTCTAGCAGACCTGGGGGGCTCCTCTGGCTCCATAGTCTCTGATTTCATGGGAAATCAAACCTTTATTTTAGAAAAAGGACAAATAGTTCCCTTTGGCTGGTTAGTAAACGACCCAGGGTGGTCAATAACACGGGGTTCCTGGTCTATTAGAGGAAGCAGGTGACTGGGGCTGGCAGGTGGCACAGTGGTTAAAAGCACTGGATTCCCACATGGCTGACCACGGTTCAAGGCCAGAGCTGGTGGCTTCTTTTCTTGCTTTCCCTTTCTCTCTGGACAAGTTAAAAACTAATAATAACAAATGGAATTAAATAAAATAACTAATAATAATTATTATTTTTTTTTAAAGAAAGAGATGACTGGAGTCTTCAGCCTCCAAAAGAACTCTCATCCTGCCAGTACAAAATGAAAGTTAGGAAGCTAGGTTTTGCTTGTGCACCCTGACCTCTGGTCTAGATTTGCTCCCTCACTCAGAACAGTAATATCCGCCGACACCACATGAATATGAGGAATGACGAAGATGGGTTCTTGACCTTGATTACATTTCTCTGGGTAACTCCTGGGGCTAAGAGAATGTGGTCTGAGGAACACACATGTTGACATACAGGGGTAAAACAGGGGTACCAGCACTGCAGGTCAAGGACAGGCGAAGGAGTGGGGTCAGCGGTCCCCGTCAGCCCATGAGACTCCTGAACCGCACAGTGGTTTAGCCCCTTCCCTCACCGTAAACACTGCTGCACAGAGATGGCCAGGAGAGGCGTGGGAAGGAAAACATCGATATGACCACAGTACAGTTCAACCAGCAAAATGTCCCCGGGGAGAGATGGTCAGGAGAAACAGTCACGTGGCTATGTAGATGAAGCAGTTATGCCTTGATGCCCCCCCATGAAGGCAGAGAGTTGGGCAAGTCTGGCCCAGCTGCAGTGGTGCAAGTGGGAGGGGACCTCTGTGTGGTGACTGAGGTTGCATGGGAGGTCAGGGTTCAAGTGTCAGCCCAACCTAACAGGCTAGGCACTGGGGCATGTGCCAGTGGTCCCAGCTGGGGCAGGCCAGGGGACTCTTTGCTGGATGAGGCCCTGTCAAAAGTACCACTCCTCTCTCCCTCTCTCTCTCTCTCTCTCATTTAAAAAGAAGGAAGAAAAAAGAATTGGGGAAGCCTACTAGCTTATCTCGAGTCAAGTCTTAACATGTAGACTGTGAAACAATTATACAATCTCTTTTTGCAACCAATCACCTAAGGATTCAGACCCTCAAAAGCAAAATTAAACAAAACCAAACCAAAACAAAACAAAACAAAAACCAAAGGCCTTAGTGAACAAATGATAATTTATAAAGAATAAATGAGATCGAGACCGGCAGTTGGCATAATGGCTCCCACGTGGTCGACTGCGGTTCGAGTCCTGGACCCGGTGGCTTGAAACTCATGCCAGGCACATGTGCGTGCGTGCCCAAGATCCCGAGAGGAGAATGGAGAAGGGATTGCAGCATGGCCATCCCCCCTGGTGGGTGATTTCTCGCTTTGTATCTCTATGTCTCTGTCTGTCTGGCAAGCGCACGCGCCCTATAGCACAAACCCCTTCAAAAAAAAAAAAAAAAAAAGAATAAATGAGATCATGTGTGTCTGGCCCCCAACGGAAGAACAGATGTTAATTCCTCTGGTTTCCTTTCACTGACTATTCAGGCTGTATTATACAAGGCGTTAGGGATCCTTGCAGGGCATAACAGGATTGGAGAGCAGGTGGATTATCGCCCTCTGGAGCCTTCTCAGTTTCGGGGTCTTCTGGTCCCTACTGGGTCAGCCTGGAGGGTTAGCTACACGTCTGCTGCTTCTGATAATTTTGGAATTATAAAATTACTCATTAAATGGAGAAAAATGTTAAGTTTTAATGTACAAAACTCTAATAATCCAGATTTACAGCTCACTGCTGCGGCCAGGCACAGTTCTGAGCGCATCGGTGGCTTTGCAGATGGTTGTCTCTGTGACGTCAAGTCGTTCTCTGTGCAGTACCTTATCTGTGAATCTTCAGTGAGGGAGGGCAAGGACAAGTCTCTACTAGAACAGAGAACAAGTCAAGGCCTTTGTTTGGAAAAAGGAAAATCAGCAACACTGGACTTTTTACAGAGGAAAAAAAATGAGTTAGGCCTTTGCTCAATTTTGCCCACAAATTGCAACTGTTCCTGTTGCCAAAGTGAAGCAATAGGTTATGGAGATATTTATTCAATGGAAAGACTTGGCAAAAGTAAAATAAGTTCCATGAAACTTAAATAACATTAGGGAAATAAAGAAACATAATTTAGAAAAGACCATGTAACCGATGCTCTGGCTCACAAACGAAGCAGGCTCAGATCTAAGGAGACCAGAATCTGATTTCCTACCTGAACAGTCAACTGGAGGGTGGTTACTGTGCAGACAAGAAGAAAGTGTGTGCCTAGTAACTAGGTAACAGATTGCAGGACCCAGAAAGGACATTCCTGCACGGAGCTTGCATGTGGACGGCGAACACGCAAGTCACCGCTGGGGTCCATGCAGAGCTTTTGCTTCAGAGGAGGAGCTGGGGAGTGGGGGAGCAGGAGAGCGGAGGAGCGGGAGAGCGTTCTCGGGTGTCCTGCGGCTCCTGGATGCCTGGACAGGGGCTGCACTCCCAGCAGCTTACTCCTTGAACTCCTATTGAGAAGCACGTTTACACAGCCAAATGTGAAATTATAAAAGTCTGCTTACTCTTTTGGGTGTATGTGTTCTACACTTTGGTGCTTATGAAAATATCTTTGAGGTGTAAAAATGCAGGTTCCAATCCTCATTGGGTCTTCTTAATTAGTTTCACCAATTTCTTTCCTTTCCTTTCTTTCTTTTTTTAAAAACATTTTTGCTGCAGTGTGCGGGCACTTGCTGACTTGCCAGGGGAAGGGAGGGAGGGAGAGAGAGAGAAAGAGAGAGGAAGAAAAAGAGAGAAAGTGAGAAAACACCTGGGAATGATTTCTCGCTCTCTGTCTCTCTCTCCCAGTGAGTGCATGTGCCCTATAGCAAAAATCTCTCTTAAAACACACACACACACACACACACACTGGATCCGGGACTTGAACTGCTAAGTTGGCCATGGGGGATCCAGCCACTTTAACCATGATGACACTGGCTGGTCCACCAATTTCAACAATAGTAGGCAGTAATCAAAAGATTGAATTCTAGATTTTGTTTTAAGGCAAATGGGCACATTCAATGTCAGTATGGATCAGCCTCCTCTCCAGGAAAAGTCTTCATAAAAAGCAATGAAGAGTGAAAACATTTTGCTTCTCTATCAATAACCAATGCTAAAATTGCATGTAACAGAGCTCAATCTCAAGAATCTAGAACAGATAAGAAAAAGTTCACTACTACCACTTTGGAGGGTGTCTGTGTCCAGGTTGGCTTTTGTTCAAAAAAATTAAGCTGGTGTTAGAAGGGCATGCTTTCCTGCTGCTATTGCTGGTGAACTGCCCGGTGTCCCTAGGACAAGCGCCACCTCCTGTGGAGTGGTATATTCTAGTTCCCAGAAGAACCAGGACAAGGAAGATAGCTAACAGGGGCTCTTTTACTCTGAAACATTTATGCTTTTGTAAGAAAGCAAAGACTCTAAAGATCTGGTAGTCTGGGGAGGTTTTTTTTTTTTTTTTCCTTCTATTTGTTATATTGAGATGAAATCTGGGAGTAAATCCCAGTTATTTAAAAACTGATATGAAATGAGGAGGACACAGAAAATTTACAATCCATTCATTTACTAAAAGGCTGCCTTGGGACCAGCCGTTAGCATAATGGCTATGTTGCTGAACTCCCATGTAGTGGACCACGGTTTGAGTCCCGGACCTGGTGGCTTAAACTCATGCCGGATGCTTGTGTCTTGCGTGCCCAAGATCCCAAGAGGAGAATGGAGAAGGGATTGCAGCGTGGCCATCCCCCCTGGGGGGTGATTTCTTGCTTTCTGTCTCTCTGTCTCTTTCTGGCGAGTGTGCGTGCCCTATAGCAAGAACCTCTCCCCCAAAAAAAGGGCTGCCTTAAATGTTATAATACATTTTCTTTCTTACACTCTTTTCCTTTGAAGTAAAAAAGAAATCTTGTTGGCTCTTATCTGGTTCAAGTACTTTGTGTCTTTTCAGCCCGTGCCAGTATTTAAGGGTCAATGGGTCTATTCTACCCATTCCGGGAGGTTGTGGGGCTCATGCCATTTCTGCCCACTGCTGACAGGTGGTCTCACCAGGTCCCCTCCAGAAGTAGCTCCCAGGAGCTCCAGAAACAATCTGCCAGGAGGAGGAAGGATCCCGAGAGGTGCAAGCATGCTCAGAGGGCAGTCACAGCCCAGGCGGCAGGAGTCTGCAGACTGGGCGGTTCATTAGCATGCACAGACTGAGGGTCTGACTGCCCTCCACTTGGCTCAGCACCCTCTTGCTCCGCAAGTAGCTTGGCTCAGCCCCTGCAAAGTCTGAGCTAAATGCCTTTTTAGCTTCTAAGGTTCCAAAAATCAGCTACGCTGTCAATTACCATAAAAGCAACTGGCTGGCAGGAACAACTTACTGAACCAGCCAAAAGTGTGTGTT